TCTGATAAGGGGTTAATATCCAAAATATATAGAGAAATTATACAACTCAACACCAGGAAGACAAACAATCCAATAAAAAAATGGGCAAAGGACCTGAGTAGATACTTCTCCAAAGAGGACATACAGATAGCCAGTAGACATATGAAAAAAGTGCTCTATATCACTAATTTTCAGGGAGATACAAATTAAAACAACAATGAGGTATCACCTCACACCTGCCAGAATGGCTACCATCAATAAATCAACAAACAACAAGTATTGACAAGGATGTGGAAAAAAGGGAACCTTAGTACACTGCCGGTAGGAATGCAGACTGGTGCAGCCACTGTGGAAAACATTATGGAGGTTCCTCAAAAAATTAAAAATGGAACTGCCTTTTGATCCAGCGATCTCACTTCTGGGAATGTATCCTAAGAGAATCCTGAAACACCAATCAGATAGAATATATGAACCCCTATGTTCATAGCACTGTTATTTACAATAGCTAAGATCTGAAAACAGCCCCAGTGCCCATCAGTAGATGAGTGGATAAAAAAGCTGTGGTAGCCCAGCCAGTGTTGCTCATTGGTTGAGTGTAGACCCATGAACGAGGAGATTATGGTTAGATTCCCGATCAGGGCACATGCCTGGGATGCAGGCTCAATCCCCAGTAGGGGGCGTGCAGGAGGCAGCCAATCAATGATTCTCTCTCATCATTGATGTTGTTTTCTCTCTCTCTCCCTCTCCCTTCCTCTCTCTGAAATCAACAAAAAATGTATTAAAAAAAAAAAGAAAAGAAAAAGAGCTGTGGTAAATTTACACAATGGAACACTATGCAGCTGTAAAAAGGGAGATCTTACCCTTTGCAACAGCACAGATAGACCTGGAGATCATTATGTTAAGTGAAATAAGCCAGTCAGAGAAAGACAAGTATCACATGATCTCACTTATATATGGAATCTAATGAACAAAATAAACTGATGAACAAAATAGGTCCAGAGGTATGGATGCATGAAACAGAGTGACAGATCTCAGTGGGGAGGGCGGTGGGGACAGGAAGAGATTAACCAAAGAACATATATGCATATGTACATAACACATAGTCACAGACAATAGTATGGGGATGGCCTGGGTTGAGGTGGGGGCTGGGTGGAGGGTGGCTAAGGGGGAAGGGGAAGATGGGGGATATCTGTAACACTGTCAACAATAAATTTTAGAAAAAGAAAGAATATATGCACCCTTATGTTCATAGTAGCGTTATTTACAGTAGCCAAGATCTATAAACAGCCCAAGTGCCCATCAGTAAATGAGTGGATAAAAAAGCTGTAGTGCATTTACACCATGGAATACTATGGGGCTGTAAAAATGAAAAGAATGCTTTACCCTTTTTGACAGCATGGGCAGACCTGGAGATTATTATGCTAAGTGAAATAAGACAGTGGAAGAAGAGAAGTACCATATGATCTCATTAATATGTGGAGTCTAATGAACAAAATAAAATGACGACATAGAACCAGAGGCATGGATACACAGAACAGACTGACAAATGTCAGAGGGGGAGAGGGTGGGAGGGACTGGATAAAGGAAGGAATTAGCTAAAGAACATATGTGGCCTGGCTGGGGATGGTTCAGCGGTTGAGCACTGACCTAGGATCCAGGAGATCAAGGTTTGATTCCTGGTTAGGGCACATGTCTGAGTTGTAGGCTCAATCCCCAGTCAGGGGCGTGCAGGAGGCAGCCAATCAATGACAACTCTCTCATCATCGATGTTTCTATCTCTCTCTCTCCCTCTCCCTTCCTCTCCCTGAGGTCAATAAAGATATATTTAAAAGAAAAAAAAAAACATATATGCATATATGGACATAGACAATAGTGTGGTGAGGGCTATGGGGGCAGGGGCTGGGTGGAGGTGGGCAAAGGGAGAGAAATTTGGGACATTTGCAATAGTGTAACAATAAATTTTTTTTTTTAAATATATCTTTATTGATTTCAGAGAGAGGAAGGGAGAGGGAGAGAGAGAGAGAGAAACATCAATGATGAGTCATTGATCGAGCCTACAACCCGGGCATGTGCCCTGACCGGGAATCGAACCCCATTTGCCTGGATCCTAGGTCTACCGACGCTCAACCGCTGAGCCACGCCCGGCCAGGCAATAAAAAATTTAAATAAAAAAAAAGAAGTCTGATATCACCAAGTGTTGGAGAGGATGTGGACCAATGGAAATTTTACACATAGCAGGTGGGTAAAACCACTTAGGAAAACAATTTGACACTATTTTATGAAGTTGAATCTTCAAAGACCTTATGACTCAGTAATTCTCCTAGGTGTATACTCTAGAGCATACATATCACCCTCAAGTGGATGAAATCAGTTTTGAGGAGTGGGGCATAGGCAAAAAATCATACTCTTTTTATGCATAAAGCACAGATATGCATTCAGTACATAATGATACATATAGTACATCGGTGGTATTAGAATTTCATTAGAACAACAACTTGGGGGGAGGGGAATGTCTATGAAAGGCTCCTCAGTGAGGCAATAAGGAAAAAAGGGCCGAGAAACACTGCCCTAGAGATGCTCCTGCACACATGCACCAGAAGACAAGTATAAAAGTATTCATAGCAGCACTGTCCATAGACACAAAAATCAGTAAATAATCCAAGGAGCAATCAGTAGAAAAGTGGATGAATAAACTGATATATTCACCAGTGGAGGAGGAATTAAAAAGTAACAATCCAGCCTGGCCGGGCGTGGCTCTGCGGTTAAACGTCGACCTAGGATCCAGGCGATCGGGGTTCGATTTCCGGTCAGGGCACATGCCCAGGTTGCGGGCTGCAGCCGATCAATGACTCTCTCATCACTGATGTTTCTATCTCTCTCTCCCTCTCCTTTCCTCTCTCTGAAATCAATAAAGATATATTAAAAAAAAAAAAAAGTAACAATCCACCCAGACAGGCCTGGCTCAGCAGTTGAGCATCNCAATCCACCCAGCCAGGCCTGGCTCAGCAGTTGAGCATCGCCCTAGGATCCAGGAGATCGGGGTTCGATTCCCGGTCAGGGCACATGCCCACATTGCGGGCTGCAGCCAATCAATGACTCTCTCATCACTGATGTTTCTATCTCTCTCTCTCTCCCTCTCCCTTCCTCTCTCTGAAATCAATAAAGATATGTTTAAAAAAAAAAAGGTAACAATCCTCCAACCATCAATAAAAAGGAATAAATTACAGCTACATACCACAAGAGGAATTTCAGTAAAATAATGATAAGTGAAAAATTCAAATCCCAGAAAACAACATGCAGCATAATACCCTATTTATACACTTTCTATTATAAAGCTGTAATAGTACATAAGCACCTATAGAAATCTAGTTCCACAGTACTCCCAAGTGAGGTCCCAGAACCAAGACTGCATAGACTCCTAAATGAATGTTTTTCAAACTGCAGGTTGTCACTAAGTGGGTCCTGAAGTTAATTTAATAGATCATGACTAACATTTAAAAAATATGAAATAGAAGAGAATAATCAAAGTGATTGCACACAGTAAGGTAAAGCTTGTTTTGTGCAACTTTTTTGTTTTGTTTTATAAATATGTACACACAGATACACACGCCCCCATCCACAGATTCTGAAATCTAAATAACTCTGAAAATCTTAAATTTATTTCATAAGTTTGGTGCAAAAATTAAGAGGGCAGCAAAAGCTAACCTGAAATGCCCTAGGCTATTCATAGCATTTATTCTTCTCCACTCATTATAATACATTCCATTGCAGAAATATTAATGTTTGATTATAGGGTGGCACACATATTATCTTTTAAAGTTCAAAATATTAAAAAAACACCTCTGGATCTAAGCATTTGTGATAAGAGATTAAGAACCTTATCTATGTATGTAACTCTACATATATGTGTAAGTATACATATACTTTTGAGTACTAAGTCATAATGTAAAACATGTTTCTGGCCCTGGCTGGGTGGCTCAGTTGCTTGGAATGTTGTCCCGGGCACCAAAAGGTTGTGGGTTCGATTCCCACTCAGGGCACATACCTAGGTTGTGGGTTTGATCCCCAGTTGGGGAGTGTATGGAGGGAGGCAACGGATCTATGTTTTTATCTTACATCGATGTTTTTCTCTCTCTCCCTTCCTCTCTCTTTAAAATAAAAATATACCCTCAGGTGAGGATTTATATTTTTATTATTATTATTTTTAAATATATCTTTATTCATTTCAGAGAGAGGGAAGGCGAGGGAGACAGAGAGATAGAAACATCAACGATGAGAGAGTCATTGATCAAGCCCGCAACCCGGGCATGCGCCCTGACAGGGAATCGAACCCCGATGGCCTGGATTCCAGGTCGACGCTCAAACGCTGAGCCACGCCCGGCCGGGCCCCTCAGGTGAGGATTTAAAAAAATATTTTTAATTAAAAAAATGTACTTCTGATTAGATATAGTTGAAAAAAAAGTGTGTTTTTTTAAAAAATATATCTTTATTGAGTTCAGAGAGAGGAAAGGAGAGGGAGAGAGAGATAGAAACATCAATGATGAGAGAGTCATTGATCGGCTGCCTCCTGCACGCCCCCAACTGGGGATCGAGCCTGCAACCTAGACATGTGCCCTGGCCGGGAATCAAACCCCAATCGCCTGGATCCTAAGTCGATGCTCAACCGCTGAGCCACGCCTGGCCGGGCAAAACAAAGTTTGAAAGACACTGGCTAGGTGACATTTTTCATGGACACTGGCCATGCCTAGGCCTTCATTAATTCTTATTCTACAAAACTCCAGGAAAGGGATATCCCACACCTTTATGATTAAGAATGTTCTTGTGCATTTCTTATTTAAATTCTTCCCATTTTACTTTTAAGACCATTTCTTATTCTGAGGAAGCAGTTATTACTCATCATTTACAGGTGATCTTTAAATGGAACACAATGTCTGAAGTTTACATCATTCTTAAATCCAAAGAATAGAAAAAAGTATCCTAACCATTATAGGAGAATTAAGAGGGCTCTGCCACAGCCTTACCTTCAGCAGGTTTAGGACTTTCTTGCCAAGATCCAGCTCAAAGTTGGTATAATTAGAACCGCACATGTCATAGATAAACACCAGTCCATTCCTCTGAGTTTCAAAGCTGTAAACCAACCATTGAACAAAAACATTTAAGTAATCAGATGAATGAGGAAGGTTGAAAGCCAGAGGCAAAAACAAAAGTATGGGACGGACACATTTGGGACCAAAATAACTGCCTCCCTGAACACTAGTCTTACAAAAAGATAATTTACCTTTGGTATCTGCTATGCTTATTGTGATATCGTGATTTCTAATAAGAACTATATACTTGGTCTTCAACCCTGAATTCTGAAAAGTCTTGAAATTTCCTAAGCAAAGTGCTCAATAAAGGTGTCTGTTATGTTATTGAGGTGACTGCTAAAATGTCCCTAAGTCACCAAGGGTGGGCGATGGTTGCCAGGGAAACCAAACACCATGATCAGAGTGTTGGCATTTTCAGCGCAAGCCCTACCAGGGAAGGAAGAGTGGGGAGGGGCTAGAGACTGAGTTCAATCATGAATGGCGAATGATTTAATCAATCGTGCCTAAGTAATGAGGTCTCCCTAAAAACTCAGAAGGATGGGGTTCAGAGAGCTGCCAGGTTGGTGAACATGTTGAGGTGTTGGGAGAATGGCTCTCTCAGAGAGGGCACAGAAACTCCGTGCTCTCGCCCCATACCTTGCCCTATGCATCCCTTCCATCTGGCTGTTCCTGGGTTATATCATTTTATCATAAACCAGTAATCTAGTAAGTAAAATGTTTCTCTGAGTTCTGTGAGCCAATCTAGCAAATCCATCAAATCCAAGGAGAGGGTGGTTGGAACCTCTGATCTACAGAGCCTGTTGGTAAGAAGCAGAGGTGACAACCTGGACTTGCCATTGGTATCTGAAGGGAGTAGAAGGGGACAGTCTTGCAGGACTGAAAACCCTTAACCTGTGGGACCTACACTATCTACAGGTAGACAGTGTAAAAAATGAGGTGAATTGTGGAACTCTGAGCTGGTGTTGAAGAACTGCTTGGTGGTGTACGGAAAAGCCTCACATGTTGGAACTGGAATTGGAATTATACTTATTGATGCATATTTAACCAGATTTATCAAGTGAGAAAGTCCTAAGTTGAGAATGTTCCAGAGTATCTAGGTTATCAAAATTTGAACTGTTTTCTCGCATGTCTCTGAATATGCCTATCCAAATTCTGTAATATTCCATGTTCAGCTCAAAAGTTTCCTCTTCCTTGAAGATCTCCCTGATAACTGTAATCAAATGTACCACCACCCTTCACCTTCTTGAAGCCCCACAAATCTTCCTGTGGATCTTTATTGTGGCTCTTAAAGTATGCCAACTTTGTGTAGCTGATTCTCTTCTAGAGTGTTTTTTTTCACTCATTATCCCCAACAGTCCCTAGCACAGTCCTTGCAACACAAATCCATAATGACTTGTAACTGAACTGTAATCCAGTGGACTGGAAGCCATCACTAAAAAAAAATACTTTAGACTTGTAAAAAACCGTATAACAAAACTCTAAGCTTAATAGTTGTGAATTTGTCTCTTTTGACTTGGAGGAAGAGAACGCACAAATGGTCTCTGGAAAATATCCTCAAAAGTAAATTGAAAGGTGGTAAACCTATGCCCAGATTGAAGTTAGGAACACATGAAGATATGAAAAGTATTCCTCAGTGCAATCTCCTTAATGCCTAAGGACTTTTCAAAGTTGACTCTTCCACCTAGCCAAAGCCTTACTTGCTTTATTCTATACACAGAATAAATTATTCAGACTATTCACAGGTAACTGAAACAGGTTTCACATTTATTTTAAATTGAGAAAAAAATTTGGCTCAAAACACAATCCTGAAATCAGAGTCTCATGTTATTTTGTACACTAATTTTGTTGTTGTTGTTGTTATCCTCACTTGAGGATATTTTTTTCCATTGCTTTTCAGAGAGAATGGAAGGAAGGGAGGGAGGAAGAGAGAGAAACATAGATATGAAAGAGACACGTCAATTGGTTGCCTCCCGCATGTGCGCCGACCCTGGCAGGAAGCAAACCCACAACCCAGGCACGTGCCTTTGACCGGCAATTGAACCCATGATTCTTCCGTGTGCAGTCTGTTCCTCTAACCATTTAGCAACACTGGCCAGGGTTACACTACTTTTTTAGTATGACCTCCTGGAAGCCTCTATACCTCTATCCTTTCAATAAAATCCAAGAGAGAAGTACCAACTCATTAAGTAGCATTTCAAAAATCTCTAATTGTGAAGTAGGCCCAAATTTCTCTTAGGTTCAAATGATCCATAACATGATACCGTCAGTGCTAAATCTTGACTCCTTTTACAACCCCAGAGAGATTATGATTCACCAAGAGCAAAGATGCTGTTAATCAAATGACACAATTACTATCCAAGTCTAGAGACTTCCCATTTCTCCACAAGTTCATCAAAGGCCAAATTCAAAGAATTATATATTTTTCCCTCACAGCTCCAGCTTGTGGTAGGGAACTGAAACAAAGGGAAGATAGTGCCAGGGGAAAAAGAATTTAATTTTTAAAAAGCAACCTGGCATAACGATGCAGGTTCTACAGTCCCCAAAACAGCTCATCCTCTAAAGGCACATGAAATACATAAAAATGCAATAGGATTTTCACTTTTCTGGGTACAGAATATGAGGTTTACAAACAGCTAATTCCGTACTCAGAATAATTGCTTCCCTCCTGAATCTGATTCCTGAGCTGGATGCTACTGGGAACACCAAGAAGTTTAAAACACAGTCCCTCGCATGTTTTAAAATAGCCAAGGGTAGGGGGTGGGTGAGGGATTATCAATGAAACAAGATTGGTTACAGATCACTTTGAAGACAACAGATGATGGGTATGTGGAAATTTACGACAGCATTTCCTCTCCACCTAGGGAGATTTTGGAATTTTCCATTATATAATGTTAAAAAGAAGGTACCCTGTCCTTATGGAGCTTATAATCTAGTGGTAGATGAAAAACCAACAGTATAAGATAAATGACATCATAAGGCCATGCATAATTAAACACAAAATGATCAGTACTAGTAATAACTGCTATTAAAATCAGAGTAAAAAGAATTTTATTTGTGACAGGTTGGAGCAGTGACAGGGCCAGTCATAGAAGTTGGGCCTTAAAAAAGGGTAAGATATAGTGAAGAGGAGGGCTTTCCTCCCCTTCCATTCTGATTCAAGGTAAAATAGGGAAACAAGAATTTCTTCTCACTACTGAGAATATTTTGCTTAAAGAAAAGGGTTCACATTTATCTTATACACATCCTCTCAATAATGAGGAGTCAATGAGGGATTTTAAGAAAGAAATGGACATCATGAAAAATTTTAATTCTATTTACCTGTTTGGTACTCCTGTGGGATCTAATACTCACACTGGAAAGAGCAAGCTTTGGTTACTGCCATACGTATATGAGAGCTCTGACTCTCTAAGCTGCCCAAGGAGGAAGACCAATACTGAATTTTTTGGTGAAGGAATCTCTCATTCATTCCCCTGAGCTAAACTAACCTTTCAAAGGAACCTATATTCTGGAAATCATGCCTGAAGGCCAATCACAGAAAAGAACTGATACACTCCACACTTCTGATTGTGCAGTACTGGGGCCCTGAGACCACTGATCCTCTCTCCTCAGTAACTTCTCTTTTTCAGAACAATGCTATGTGTAGTTTAGATCTATCTCCCGCTAAGCATCAAAAGCAGAAGCTAAGTACTATGAAAATAACATTAACAAGACAGTAACAGATGAACTGAGAACTTAAACTGAGACAGTACTTTGGCTATTCCCATCCCCTAAAGTCCATAGTATGACTAAAGCTGTGCACAGCTGTCTCACTCTATCAGGTAGCAGCCCTACGTATATCACTCCTAACTCAGAGGACCAGCCAATAACATCCAGAGCAATAAGAAACTGTAAAGGCAAGCACTAAGGTAAAAAGTATGGCAGAAAAACAACATAGTAAGGTAACTATAGCTCTAGACAAGAAAAGAACACCAGGATCTTAGAACAACTTGGACCAGTATGTGATTACTGTAAAAGAGTCACATAACTTCTTGGGACTTCAGTTTCTTTGTCTATAGAATAGTAACAATATGATTTACCTTAAAGGGGGAGAGATATGACCTGAGCTGGTTCCTTTTGCTTATGTACCTATTGATTTTACTTAACTTTATACTTTTGGACTCTTCTCTCCTGAATATTGATTCTCAAAATCCTCTGAGCTAAATACCATTATTCCATTTTACAAAGAAACTGAGGCCCCAGAGGGTTTTGAAAATTAACATTCAGGGAAGAATGAACAAAAAGAGCCAGCACAGGGCTGCTGACCAGGTAGCCCAGTTGGTTAGGGCATCATCCTGATACACCAAGATTGTAGGTTTGATCCCTGGTCAGGGCACATACAAGAAGCAACCAATGAATGCATAGATAAGTGGAACAACAAACTGATGTTTCTCTCTCTCTCTCTTTCTCTCTAAAATCAATGAATACATTTTTTAAATTAGTATTTAATTGGCTTTCTCAGCTTCTGTTATTCTGAAAAGAGCCAAGCAGGTAAAGATATGGGAAATCCACCAGCTTGACAGTACCTGGAAACATTCCAAGCCTTTAAGGACATTGGACATTTTCTATGCATAGCACTCACTGCCCAAGACACATCTGAGAAGCACAGGGAAGGCACTCCTAAGTTTTATCAAATCAAGAACTGTCACTTTCCCATCTAGATATAAACCACCTACACCAATCTCCATGCTCACCTATCCACAGCTCTGTCTAGCAAGTAAAACAGAGCCTGAAGTACCACATGTTGGACTGACTTGTGGGGATGATGCAGTCTGGCAGTGAAGAGGGCGATGGAGGCTCCTGTTGGGTCCCGAACATTCTAAAGCAAATAAAACAAGAAACATTTAGAAATCAAATAGAAAATCCCAATAATCACTAAGGCTTCTCATATCCTGGACACAGCTTTTCAATATGAAGAGAACAGATACTGGAACTGCTTCGCTGACTTGCATCAATTGCTCCAGAAAGGGAAGAAAGTTTATGCTATCCCATGCCTGATTCTCAGCAAGCCCTCATCCCCCCAACCATATTTCAATGATAGGAAAAACACACATTATCTCCTCAATTACAGAGATTAAAAAACGGTGTACTCTGGCTGATTAATTTCCCAGGCAGGATGCCAAAAGAAACAAACAGCAGAGGAAAACTATAAAATCCACCCATTGTATATTTACCTGCAAGGTTGTGGTTTCCAATTGGAGAGAGCTTGCATTCAATAAGGTAGGATGGGCCTCTGACACATTATAAACCCATCCCAAAAGCCTTGACTGTTATGGACCAATGAAGAAACTTTTCTAAATCTACAGTCCAACTGATTCCCAATAATTTCAATTATTACTAGAATAATTTTATGCCAAACTGCACAACTGCTTCACATCTGCTCCTGACTGTTGAGACTCTCTAGATTCAGGATAAAGTATGCAGCAACAACAAAGTCCAAAGAGGACAACAGCTACAAAAGGAAATAATGAGACATTACAAGAGGGGTCCATGAAGACTCACTAAGATGGTAAATTTTCCACTAAGGATCTCAGAACGGAGAGGTTCTTCGTGAGGTTTCAGCTTCACTATGCCTTCCTTCCTTCGTGTTTCCTAAAAATAAAGCACACAAGATGAATATGAAAATACTATACACCCTGGCCAGTGTGGCTCAGTTGGTTGGGTGTCATCCCATGCATCAAGAGGTTGCCAGTTTGATTCCCAGTCAGGGCATATGTCCAGGTTGTGGCTCAATCCCCAGTAGGGGTCTTGCAAGAGGCAGCTGATCAGTGTTTCACTCTCATATCGATGTTTCTCTCTCTGCCTCTCCCTTCCTCTCTCTCTAAAAAAAAAAAAAAAAAAAAATAAAAAAAAATTTAAAAA